TATGTTCTGACCTGGACCCCGGCTTGACCGGGCAGACCCAGCCCAATGATACTTAGTTAGGTTCAATCCGACTTGGGCTACATCCGTCGAGCACATGGTTCCCGCCGGGTAGACAATGGCCCCTCCGCGGGCAGAACCTTCTCCCTTGTCGAGCAGAACAACGTGTCCTTCACACGTTATCCACGTGCTCCCTTCCGCGAGGACATGTCATCAACCAACTGCCCACCTCCGAAAGAGCAGGTCAACCCACTCTCCGGAGTTCATGGAGCAGTTGAATCAGGGCGAAGACCACGTTCTGGTCTTCACTACGCCACGTAAGCCCTAACAGTCACTTGGGTTGGACCTTACCCCCCAGCCCAACTCAAATAACCGTTGGCCCTGCGCTGAGATCTCTCTATAAATACCCTATTTCACTAAAGGGTTAGGTATTCTCTTCTTACCCCTTTTCTGTATTTGTTGTCACTCTGTCCAAACTCTTACTTTGACTTCAGAGTATCTTGCAGATACACCCCCATCTCCTTCTCAACACCGGTGAACAGGCAGCAGATCAACAACGTGTGGCAAATTCATGGTCCCCTTCTGATCAGGTCATATCAAAATATATATAATCATATAATGGTTTAATTTTTGTGGTCATATAATAATTATGAATCATTCATACTATCATATAATTTTAACACAACTTTATTCATAGAATACTTATGTATTCATCAATGATATATAACCATACAATTTATTTTCTATTTCTTACCATTTGCATCTCCCAGTTTGGATATCATATGATTTTAAATTTTTTTACTAAATAATATTTTTTTTCTATGAAACGTACACATAAATGTAAGTGAGTTGTGTAAAGATAAACTATTTGTTATAATTTTTTTTATATAGTTTTCAGAGTTAATAGAATAGTTTATTTTAGTCTCTTAATTCTTTAAAATATGTTATTTTAATTTTTTCGTCTAATTAATAGTAAAAATATTTAATAATTTATCGCTAAATAATTCTAAAAAGTTGAAGATTAAATATAATTTTTTTTTTAAAATTGAAGGAGCAAAATAAATTACAAATCAAACTTATATGCCAAAAAAATATTAAATCTAAAATTTAATTAATAAATTTTATTTTTAATATAATTTTCTATTTTATTTACACTAATAATTATTTATACATGGTGATCTTATAGATAATCTACCCATTTGTTATAATAAAATAAAAAATTACAATTTATTCAATTATTTCAAATGATTTCAAATTATTTCAAATTATTTATGGTAAGGTATTTATATAGGAATAACATCATTGATCCAAATAAACTATAGTTTTATCATTTACCTTTTACTCAATAGGAAGTTTCTTTTTATATATAATTTCACAACTTTATCTTTCTTCTACTTGGTTTGTTTTTTAATTGGGAGTATGCCAGACATTACATAAACAATACATATACATTACATATAAATGGTCAATTTCAAGTATTTATAAATCTTATACAATTTTTGTTTTGACTACTCAAATATTCAAATAATGACACAAAACTTGAATATTATTTAGAGTTAAACTCTTAATGAAAAATTTGTTATTCTCTCTCTTTTTTTAAAATTAAGTTTGTTAAGATTACTACATATTTATAAACTAGTTCAAATAATATCTATATAATATAATTTAGATTACTTTAGAGTAGGGTAATCTTAATTATAACTCAAATTGCTAAAAAAATATGAATCTAAAAATCAAATTAGTAAAAAAACAGAATTCTCATAAATACTCTTTAAAATTTTTAAATAAAGCAAACATTTTATAAAAAATGAACCATTTTAATTTTCAAAATATTAAATAGACACATTTTTTATACTATTTTAAGGTTGTAAAGAGTGTCATTAAAATATTCCTTAACATTTTCTTTTATTAAAATATATGAGTCTATTCTAGATAAACTTTTAATAAAGAAAATGCTAACTAATATCTCATGGAGACTCTTTAAAATCTTAAAATAATAAATTTTTAATAAAAGTATATTTATTTATGTTAGCAAGACCCTTTAATAAATTATACATATTTTGTATTTCTATTAAAATCGATTAAATTCCAAATTATCATTAAATATTTCTTCACATTTATGAAGAAATCCAATGAAATATATGAATTTTTGTATACTTATTTTTAAAAGTATATTGGCATAATTAAGATAAATATATTCAATTATAATTTTAGTAATCTATTAATTATTCTATTTTAAATTCAAATAATTTTAATCATTCATCAAATTTTTGTATTCAAATTGGATGATGTGTCTAATTTTAAATGATACACTATTTATATAACATGACAAATCTTGAGAAAAAAATAATAAATATAAATTAAACATCATTAAAAAATAAATATATAAATAATTTTCAGTAAAAATCAAAACTTTAATTAAGTTAAATATATATCATTATGTAGTTGATTGAGATAACTCAAGTGATATACTATATTTATGTGTTAGTTGAGTTAAATAAATTTAAACTATTTGTTTATTTATCTAACACTTATTTATATTTATTATTAAGTTAAATAAGTGTAATTAGTTAGTATATAGGTCAATCTTTGACAAAATTATTTATTTATATTTATGTATTAAAAGAAAAGGATTATGATTATTTTTAAATAAATATTTTTAAGAAAAAAATACTTTTATTCAATATTATTAATTTTTTAATTAAAAAATATTCACTAATATATTTTAAATTATTATTTTAAAATATAATAATTTTCAATATAGATTAAATACAATATTTTTAAAATCAGACATCAAAGTATAGAATATTGTTCTTATTAATTACTCCTACCAGTATCAATGTGAAGATCCGGCTAGTTTCTGATTGGGTCTTATTTCAGTTAACCGATTGGTTGCTTGATTAGTTTGGATTAGCTCAGCTGAAAGACAATGTAATGCATAAAGCACATCCAATCCAAATCGTGCAGTAACATAGGAGTAATAAAATTCTTGTAACCTTTTTACCACTTTTAAGGAAGATATGTTTTCTACACCACGTGTAAGTAATACCATATATCTGTCTGATGCTTCTATTTTTGTAACTGATGCAGCCACCACTTAGCTAGGAGAATTATATAATTGTTTTCATATCAGAATTAATTAGCTAGTATTATTCGACACCGACATAACTTTATGTTTACTAGCTCTAAGGATATATATGTCATAACACGTGTTCTATTGACTCTCGTATCAGTGCCTCTGCACGACCACCAGCTGAAAGAAAAGTTGAAAGCTATTTATATAAGCACAAAATCTCACACCTAGTTTGTTTGTTTTCTTAGCTTACATAATTATAACTTTCATTATGTAATGATAAATATTTATTTTTAAATTTTTTTAATTTAATTAATTAATAATTAGAATTTTATATTTTAAAAATAAATAAATAAAATATCACAAATTAATTTTTTTAATTTAACTATTTAATAACTAATAATTTACATTAATTTAACTAATTCAACTAACACATTTGAACTATCCAATCGATCACAATAATTTTAAACAATTATTTATATTAATTTAACTCAACTAACACATACCGATTAAATTATTTAATATATCACAATAGAAGTAATTTTAAATTCCATTTGAATTCAAATTCTAACTTTTAAGTTAAAATCAATTCTTTAGAAAAAAATAGTAATCATGTTAAAATTATCTAATCTATTTAAAATTAATTATTTATGAAAATCAAACATAAACTTGTGTATTTGATTTTACTATAGCAAATATACATTTTGAAAGAGTAAAATTTAATTATAATTAAATTAAACAACGTTGAATGTAAACCATTTATTTTTAAATATATTTATAAAAGTAAGTTAAATAATAAATTTAAGTATATAAAATTAATCATAGAAATAAAAATATTTAACTTCTAATTTAAGATTGAATTAATTTTTATAAATATCTTAAATCAATCTTGACTACTCCAATAGTAGAAACCAACAACATACATTAATGAAGACATAGATAAAACTAAGCAATGTTCTTAACGCATGTTTTGAAGACGTTATTTTAGGAAAAAATTCAAATAAAAAGTTTATTTTTAAAGTACTAGTCAAATGCTTTTTTAAAGTAACAAATACCCTATTTTTGGCCAAAAGTTATCTCTTTGAGTTAGTTAAACAATGCTATGGAGATATTTATATAATCATTTTTAAAAAATATTATTATTTTTGTTCTAAATTAAATCACCATTCAAAATAAAATCACGTCAAATTATAAAGTAGTCTAAAATATTAATAAAATAATAATTACTATTTTATGTCATAAATATATAATATATTTTAAAATAAATTATTTTTTTAATATTTTTATTATCGATATTTGATCCATTAAACCGATCATTTAGACTTTGAAATCAGCTTTAACATCTGAATCACAATTACAAGAATTTCTACTAAGTTCAATATTATTCACCGACCAAGTAAATCACATTTTTTTGTTGCAATGTTTTGTAGATATTTTATATAGATTTGTAATAAGTGATACTAATAAAGAAAGTGATAATAAAAACTAAGATTGTTTATGGTATTTAGTGTGATGTGTTTGGCGCGTATAAAAAACGTACGCACATAAAATAAACCAACCATATCTCCCACCAATAAAAAAAAGGCTCTTACAAAGTAAGACACAGAAAGAAAGTAAATAAATAAAAAAGAGCAAAATTTATTAATTCATTAATTAAAAAAAACGCTTTGGAAAACGGAAAGAGAAAGTAGAGAGAGAGAGAGTAGAGAGAGAAAGAGAGAGACCAAACAGTGTACATAGAATAGAAGAAACAGAGACGCTGTTGTTTACGAGAGAGGAGAGAGAAGAGAGAGAAACCCCATAAATCCGAACCTGTTTCTCACTCTAGTTTCTTCATTCACACGCTTTTCATCGAAACCTTTCATTCTGTGTTTTGAGAGAGAGAAGCTTTTCCAGATTGCACCCTTTTCAGCCTAGTTTGGTCCGTACAATGGAAAGGTACGGCCGAGTAAACGAAGGGTCGCAGTCTGATCCGACGCCGGAATGGAATGTCTCCGGTGGAGAGGTCACGCATGAAGGTGATTGTATCTGCATTCTCAATTTTGAATTTTTTTTGTTCGATTTGTGGTTTTGGGAAGAATGTGAGAGTGGGGTGGAAGTGATTTTGATGTTTGATTTTGTGAATGTAGCAGGGTATGGATTGGTGGGTGGTGAATCGTATCCTCAGAGACCTGATGAAGCTGATTGTATCTATTATTTGAGGACAGGTTTTTGCGGTTACGGTTCCAGGTGTCGGTTTAACCATCCACGTGACCGTGCCGCGGTAAAGTTTTTGTTTTTGTTTTTATTTTGTTTCTTGAGGTTTCTGTTTCAAGGGTTTTGTTTTTTTGTTCTTTCTCGATGTGATCCTCTCTGCTTCTCTTCTATGAATGTGTTTGATCTTGTTTCTGTCTCTAGTATCGCTTTCTACCACTGGAGTTATGTTTTGTTTTATTAATTGAATTTTATCGCTTTATTTTCACTTGATTGCATGAGATTGAGGTTGTGCATTGGACACGGTTGAGATTTGAGGGTTCGCTTCTGTGCTGCTTAGGTTATTGGAGCTGCGAGGATTACAGGGGAGTATCCGGAACGAGTTGGACAGCCAGTGTGCCAGGTAGTTAGTTCTGCTCAATTACACGCTGCATGCACATCGATTGATGATTGAGTTTCACAATTGTGCTGCATGCATATCGCTTCATGACTGAGTTTCACAATTCACACTGTTTATTCCTTTCTGTTGTGGAAAATAATCTCTTCTTATTGTTTTAAGAATCAAACGGGAAATTGAACCGTTCGGGTCCGTTTGGGCCGTAGATCAAATGTTTTAAAATGATATAACCGGAACGAAACTACAATTGAACCGCTCATCCGTAGACAGTGTCAGTTCATGGTTCAATTAGTTGGAACGTTTGGTTTGATTCTTAAAACATCGATGTTGAGTAGTTTTGTTTTGCATGCATGTCAGTTTGGGAGTGAAAATGAGTTTTATTTTGTTTTGCATGCATGCATGTCAATTTAGGAGTTTGTTTTGATTGTCTTCAAAATCAGTTGTTTTCCTTTTATATTGATTATATCTGCTTATTGTTAAACTGCAGTATTACATAAGGACGGGATCGTGCAAATTTGGTGCTTCATGCAAGTATCACCATCCTAGACAAACAGCAGGAGTTACTGTCGCCGTGTCGCTAAATTATTATGGATATCCTTTGCGAGTGGTTTGTTTCGCATTATATTTTTTGTACCATGATATTTTGCGACTGTTGTGCTCACATTTTCATATGTGAATCGTGTTTGTTTTGAATATTGAGTTGTTATATATAATTGTAACAGGGTGAGAAAGAGTGTTCCTACTATGTGAAAACAGGTCAATGCAAGTTTGGTGCAACTTGTAAATTCCATCATCCACAGCCCACCGGTGTCCAAATGCTAGCACCGTCACCAGCTCCCCAAGTTTCACCTCTGCCTATGCCAGTGCCTTCACCAATTTATCAAACTGTGCAGGCTCCATCCGGTCCTTCACAACAACAATATGGTGTCCTGGTCGCGAGGCCACCTCTGCTGCATGGCTCGTTTGTCCAGGGTCCCTATGGGCCTTTGGTAGTGTCCCCCACTATGGTACCTTTTCAAGGCTGGAGTCCTTATCAACAGGTTTGTCTAGGATTTTTGTTTTGGTTGCATACTCAAGTTATATTATATGTGCTTTCTTTGAAGCTGTTGAGTGTTTGGTGCAGGCTCCAGCAGCAAGTCCTGTAATTCCTTCGAGTACTCCGTTGAGCATTGCTACACCGCAGATTTTTGGGATAACCCAGCTACCTTCACCGACAACTCCCTTTACTGGACCTTTTCAACCTTCTGGTTCCTCAACTGGTCCTCCGGGCAGTAGTCAGAAGGAACACTCGTTACCCGAAAGGCCTGATCAGCAGGAATGTCATCATTACATGAAAACGGGGGAGTGTAAATTTGGTTCTTCGTGTAGATATCATCATCCGCGGGACACTGGTGCCCCAAAAGTGATCTTTAGTCCTGCCGGTCTTCCTTTGCGCCCGGTAATGATTACCTTTCTAATTTTCACTCTCGTACTCAAATTTGTTATGAATAACATTTTTAACAATTGTCTATGATTTCCTTCTTCTGCTATATTTTTCGGGTAATCAGTTGAAATCACAGCAGAACCATCTTTTTTTCTTGTTAGTATCTTCATACTTGAAGTTAACTCTTTTTCTGGGATCGTTTTTTCTCTCTATATGTTGGGTTATACACGCATGTCTGATTCCTACATACTTTTTCTTGTTAGTATCTTCATACTTCTCTGACTAGCTTGAAGAATGGGTAGTGCCGAACCTTATCTGTACCTTGCACGGAACGATTTTCATGACATGCTTCCATATATTATTGATCTTTTTGGCTTTTATTTATCTGTTGATCACATTCACAAATTCTTATTTATCAAGAATCTTATGCTTTTGCTTTTATAATCAGGGGGCACAACCATGCACTCATTATACGCAGCGTGGAATTTGTAAGTTTGGATCTGCATGCAGATTTGATCATCCTATAGGATCCCTGAGTTACAGTCCATCTGCTTCTTCTCTAGCTGATATGCCAGTTGCACCCTATCCCGTTGGTTCCTCCATTGGCACCCTTGCTCCATCATCCTCTTCATCCGAGTTTAGGCCTGAACTTGCCTCAGGATCCAGCAAAGAGTCTGCTTTATCCAGAATGTCATCATCAACGAGCACATCGACTGCATCAGCTGGGTTAACTTTGTCAACTGTTGTACCGGTTTCTCAATCAAGTAGCCAGCCATCTGCTCTGAGTTCCAGTTCTTTAGCAACTCTCAGTGCCACCACAAGTAGCACTGTCCCTCACACCTCAAGCTAAGCAATGTGAATGTACTCCTCATTATCTCCATTTTATCTCAATTTTTCATTCGGCCGTTCTCAAAATTAGTCTTTATTTTTAAGTTATCCCAGTCCAGACCAACACTCATTGCACCAATCATTTGTCTTTGTGTCCATATAATCTTTTCATAGCCATCTCTTTGATCTTAAATAAAACCATGGCCAACATACACGCACCTTGCTCTTTGAATAACTTGAAGAGAATCTGCAAGTCCATTATGCACATGCCCATCTACATATCTATTTCTTGTGCTTATTTATGCGTCAAACTATTTTTCGAGTCAGAACCAGAACCCTGTTTTGCATTTGGGAATAATACTCTTTTCTACTCAGAAGACCCTATTTGCTATTGTTCCCAACACTGCGAAGAGAAGTTGTCCGGAGACTACAATGAGGTTTCACATTGCTATCATATATTATTTTAGATGGAGTTGCGACAAGTACTTAAATTTATTACAGAAATACATATATCAAGAAGCACATTTGAATCAACACATTTGAATGTGTAATAATTTTCTCTCCCATTTTATCAGTGTACTTGCCAAACTTTTGTGTGAGATCAGATGATCTTTGGAGGGATTTTTGTTGTTGTCGTCGTCGTTGTTGTCATTGTCGTCATTGTCGTGGTTGTTGTTTCTCTTGTTACCTTTTCTGCTCATACTATTTGGTGATGTTTATTGTAAGACTATTGTATTACTACAAGTAGAAATAGACTTTACTCATCCTTTGCATCATCATGGTATATGCAACAATGCAGCATGCAACCAATTCCTATGTTATGTTCACCATGTGTCACTTGACAAACCCAACTAACGTGATAACAATAAATATGAATAAATCTTCACAGGTTACTTTGAAAGTGACATATGAAAACCGAATTTAAGAGTTTGACCGAAGCAAGAAATAACACAATTTTCAGAGTCTGGGAATTAACAGTCACTGTTCACCATTATGGTTGGTTTCACAGTGGAAACAACTCATTTTGATTGCCTTTAATATTTAGTATAAATATGTGTGCTTGGTTATGACACGACAAAAAAGAAAGGTTTTTGCATTGAATGAACAAATTCTTACTAGGTTTTGCATCAATCTTTCTCTTTGAAAAAATAAACGTTGAAACATAAATTTCTCTACTTTGAACTCATGCTTACCTAACTTCCACCCAAACTGAGGCCATTGTTTTGCCAAGCAATTGGATGATTACGATAATTTTGCATGCTTGGTATTAGTATGGATTTAACAAAATCAAATTAAAATTTTGAAGTTTTAAAATTTTTTTTGGTATTAAGTTGGATTGTCTAATCTAGTTTAGGGGTTTGTTCTGACATTAACTGGATTCAGTTTTCTCTCGATTATAGTTGTGGGGATTCAATTTTCTCTCGATTATAGTTGTGGGGATATAATCATAGTCCTCCTTACTAAGTCTAGCGACAATTATTACTAGACCAATTAATATCGATTAATCTGGTTCAGGAGTTTGTTTTGACATTAACTAGTTCGACAATCACTACTAGACCAATTAACACTGATTAATTCGGTTTAGGGGTTTGTTCTGACATTAACTAGTTCGACAATCACTATTAGACCAATTAACACCGATTAATCTAGTTCAGGGGTTTGTTATGACATTATCTAGTTCCAATCTTTTCTCGATTGTAGTTGCGGGGATATACTCATAGTTCTTTCTACTAAGTCCAACAACAATTACTACTAAACCAACTACTATTGATTGAAGTTTTAAATTTTAGTTTTAACCTTCAAGATATTGGTAGAAAGGGTGGTGAGTCTCTGAGAAGAAATAATCTACCATTTGTCCATCCAATTATGACTTTTTGTCTCGTAAGTTGAATAAACTTGTGGGCTTTTAATTTTGTTAAAAAAGGTGTGTACAATTTTCTACATAGCTAGGATCAATGATGGTTAGACAAATGTAAAACAAGAGAATATGGTTCAATCAAAATTCTCTCAAAATCTACATAGTTTTATGTTGGAAGAAGGAGTGTTAGTCTCAATCAAAACATATTAGAGTTTGATAATTTGACATTCTATCTATGTTCTATGACAGAGGCGATTGGTCGATGGGAATATACAATGTAAGTAGATGAAACAAAAAATATTGCAAAAAGAAGATGAGACCAATGTGAAAAATCATAAAATCATGCACTACTCGTGCACATAGTCAAATAGGATTATATTCTATAAGTCATGTTTGTGTTGGTTATGATGACTAGTGTTATTTACACATTTATATTCCTTTATTTTTTTTTCTTTTATATATTTATTTTATTTATTTATTTGTATACTTCTTAGTTTACTAGTTCAAAAATACTTAAACACTTTGAAGAATTAGATAACTCAAATCCGATTAACAAAGTTCTTTTTTCATTGTAATTTTTTGAAGAAAAAGAAAATGGCATTTAAATTATAAAACATAAATTCTAACACTGACATGATACATACATGTCAATATGGACGACATTGACATTGCTAAAGACATAAGACACTAAGATCATCACTACATATATGATGATATCTAACCATTATTTTTTCATCTATTATTGAAAAAATTACAAATATTTTAATCAAATTTATTGTCTTTAATCACTATTTGATTAACATTACTTCAACTCATTTTAATTATTTTTAGATGTATTTGATATTTGTCTAAAGAATGTGTTATTGACCACCCATGGGATCCAAATATAAGAATGTCCAATAATAACACATAGCAATGTTCAACAAAGAGTAGGTGGATGCCTTTTTCTGTCGACACAGACAATCTCCCCTGCAAGTCATCCCAATCGTCCAGATAGATCCAACGATTAACCGCACAACACACCTCCTCACATGCGTTTGGTTGTTAATCATTTCTCATATTTAAAGAAGAAAATGCATCATTTTTCAAGTATTTAAGTTCTTTTCCATTCAAACTTCACCATTCAATATCTTACTAACTTTAGCGTTGGAGTGGTAACCTTGCAGGTCAACCTTCTCTCAACCACATCTGAAACAGCAGACCACCACAATAGACAACAAATTTATCCATTCCGATCAAATCTAGTTCTAGAGCAGAATATTGACATCGTCTATGTGAATCAATTTCTGATTCATGTGAATTTCTACGACTTAACTTCCCACGATTCAATCGATAGAACTATAGATCTCTTTTGATCAAAACGTAAATCTCCATTTCTTGATCAATTATGTCAAATTCAGTTTCAATCTCTCCTCATTAAGATCCATCAACGATGGCGACCTCCAAAGCTACTAACTCCGCCATCCAACTACAAGCCACTGTAGCTACAAAAAATATCCCGCCTCCTTCTCAAGGGACAAACAATAAAGTCTTAATAAATATTGCATATGTTCCCCCATTATAGAATTTCGTCAAACCTAGGTTAGATCAAAGAGCGTTTCCACATCCTTCATTCCTCGGATCTACACCACAATAACCTTCATTCAAACCATTGTTACCGCATATGATATGAAATAAGAAGCGCTCCTCAACTTTCAACTCTTACAAGCAATTCTTGGCTTGCAGGAGCCAATAAATTGTTGAACAACGTCTATCAAATGGTTCATCAACAACATTTTGATGCATTTTCATAGAGGTTACTCGTGTTGTTCTCTGTGGATTAACTGCATTATACAAAACAACATGGAGTGTACGAGATGTTTTTGTAAAGAAATGACACATGTGGGACCAAATTTCTAACATGTGTTCAACATTTGGCCCTTGTCAGCAAACCATGATGGATGTTGTTCTGAGTGTATTTTCTGATTGAGATTCAACCAGATTTGTTGCTATCTTTTAGCAATGTATTTATTAGTTTTTTTGGTTGATTAAAAAGATTAAATCAAATCATTTAAAGATATAAATTTGAATTCAAACAAATTAAAACTTTTTAGAGGTTGTTAATTAACAAATAAAAACTGAATCATGTACAAATCTGGATGTGATCATATATTTTTCCCATTGAAGAAAAGCCCAGAAGATTGCATTGCTATTTAAGGAGTCTCAAATCTAACATTTGAAGTGTGCGAGTATTGAAGATTCTTTGTGTTAGGGTTTATACTTTGAGTATTTGTTTGTATTATTGTTTGTGCACCCACCTACCGCCTACATTCATATCTAAAGGCATAAAATTTGATTTGTTAGTTGAGTATTAATTCAACATTCAGTATTTTGATTATTGTGTTGATAACTTAGGATTAATGATTGGGATAAAGTGAGAGGGGTTCTCATATTTAGGGGGAGTTATAAATAGAAAGACACATGTAAACTTAAGAAGAGGGGCATAGAACACGGGGTTGTTCATCTAAGACACTTTGTAATAATTCTATTGAAGAGTGGATTTGTTTTCTTGGGTTGGAAGCCCCTCAAACATAGGTGTTGTTTGTACTGAACTATGTTAACAATTATTTATGTTTTTTATTGGTATTTAATTTATCATATTGTTTATCAATTATATGTCAATTCTGATTTAAGATGTTGAACACATTGGTTTAGACATCTAGTCTAACAAATGTCCTCTTAAGAACATAATTCCAATTGGCATCAGAGCAAACACCCTGTTCTGTTTGGGTGAGCTCCATGGAAGATATTTTATATTCAAACTGTCAATAGACCACCTATTTTGGAAGACACCAACTATGGTTATTAGAAAGCCAAGATGGTTTCTTTTATCAAATCCATGGACAACAAAACATGGAAAGTTGTTATAAAACTTTAGAAACATCCTATGATTACTTCTCAAGATGGAAAATCAACCTTAAAGCCCGAAGCTGATTGGGAAAATGCTAAGGATGATAAAGCTCTCTAAAATTACAAGGCATTAAATGTTATTTTAAATGGTGTTGACAAGAATATATTTAAATTGATCAACACATGTATTGAAGTCAAAGAAGCATGAAAGATTCTTAAAACTGCTCATGAAGACACATCCAATGTTAGAATGTTAAGGCTGCAACTTCTTACTG